CCTCGACTCCCCAGGAAAATATAGGAAACTATGGGAAGTCGGGGGGGAGACAGAAACCCAGAAGAGATAGGAAACTATGGGGAATCCTGCTATTTGTGTCTATTTATTTGTGTGTCCCAGGGTCCCTTCAGAACCGCCGAACCGAAAATTGCATTTTGCATGATTTTCGGGGATCCGCGCGGGTTTCTCAGACTGGCGCCAGGCCCCCCCGTGACGGCGCCTCCGGCGCAGCACCTGGCGCGCTCCTCGCGCCAGGGAGGGGGTCCACCAAGGAATCCGTGCCGAGCTCCGAGACAGTTTGTTTGTATATGCTTTTTGTTCTGCCTGGACGAAAGAGGCGACGAGGAATGAATGAATGACCGAATGGATGAATGCGAGCCTGGTTTCGAAGCGCATGGACGGCGATGCAATATTATGACAGACGCAGCGGTGTTCCAGGCTGCTTGTGGAATTGCAGCGGGCTGTCGACTTTCATACGCACTGCTCGCGCTCTCTCTCTCTCTCTCTCTCTCACCTCTCTCGCGACGAAGACGGGAGGCATGACTCCCGACCCCCCCCCCCATGCCCCCGAATCCCCCCCGCCCTCGAGCCCCCCCACTCTCTCGACCCTGCGAAAACTCTGCCGCTGCCCCTTCCTGGGCGGCGGAACAACTGCTTGCCCTCGACCCTGGGAGAGCGAGGGGAGGCGTTCGCTGGTTTGCGACTGGTTTCGCCAGCTCTGAAGCCCGTTCCGAGCCTCCCGAGGCCTCTGGGCGCCCTCCTGGCCCCTGCAGGTCCTGGGGGGTCGAAGATGGAGAGACACGGTCCAATACTTCCTGGAATGCGTGAGAGGCCTCCTTCCTTGATCCTCGAGGGCCGATGACATGTCAGAGTTTGTCCATCCGACGCCATGTAAAACGATACGCTGCGAAACAAACATGGAAACATCACGGCCAGAGCCCTAGACCCCGCTGTTCCGCCGGAGTTATCGAGCCGGATCGATCCATGCCGGTCCCGTAGCCGTAATTTGGGGAGAGCGCCAGGTATGGAAACGATGCAAGGCCTTTTCGGATGTCAGTCTGCTCCCTTTTTCTCCACTCTTCTCCTTTTGGAGGAGCGGCGATGAGACGCTCAAGATCACGGTATGATCACTACTTCTTGCTGTTCCGCTGCCAAATGCTGTTCATCTAGCCAGTGCCTCAGCGCCGACTTGGGTGTCCTCCCGCTACCCGCTGAAGCCTGATCCAGTCTTCGCACGGACTGCCGCGGCCATTCCTAACCCAACCGCAGTCTACGGTCGGGGAGGTTGTTCAGGAGTGTGCCTGGGAGGCTCTGGTCCCTGGAGGATGAGCGCGGTGGCGATATCCATGGCCAAGCCTCGACTTGTCTTCCAGACCCTTGGTGCTTTATCCAATGGTTCCTGACCCATTGTTTTTGCGGTGCAGTCAACACGGATAGTAAGGACGATCGGCTTCCCAAGGGTACCATGCATCCCTGCTTGTTCGGTCATCTTCGGTCTATCATTAAGCCCTTTCGATGGCAAGCCCCGATCGAAGAGCCTCGTCATGGGCATCCAAGGCCCTTGGATCCTTACCGCGCATCTTTACTATCAGTTTTGACGGTATCTCTTGCCAATCCTTTCCCCCATCCTCCGAAGGTTCGCGCTTTTGCTCAGGAGTTCAGATGTCCCAGTGTCTTCTCCGTCTTCCCTGGGTGGAGATCGGGAGTTCGGAATGCTCCCGCAGGGGCATCCTTCCTATTGGTTCGGGTATAGCCAGGACGCTGGTTCAGGGGAGCCCGTTAGCAACTGGGCCCCGAAGCCCTAAATATGTACTGGAATCGCGAGATCAGGTCTGCCGGAGCTGCTTCTTCTTCTCGTGACGGCAGTTCAGGTGAGTGCAGGTGGGGGAGGGGAGGGGGGGGCGGGGGCGCCCCCGGCACTTCTCGTTGATCCAGGCCCCGCCACGTCCAGTCCCGCCAGCGCCCGATCGGTGCGGACCGCATCGCAGCCCCGTCGCCCAGCGCCAGGCCCTTGGCATCGCTCGGACGTGTGCATTTTTCCTTCGGCGGGGACCATCGAGGAGCATCCTTGATCATTCGGCGGAAAAACCACGCACGAAACCGAAAAAAGCACAGGGAATGGACGTCCGAGCGACGGCGAGGGCCTGCAGGGGGGCGGCGGGCCATGGGCGGAGGGCCCCCCCGCCCTTCGAGGGGCAGGGGGCGGGGGCGGAAGCGGCGGGCAACGGAGCCCGCTGGCCCCGGACCTCGGGGGCCGGCCGCCGCCCCCCAGCCGCGCCTTGCCGGGCCAGCCCGTCTGCGGGGGTGCCTCGGGCGGGCGGCAGACAGGAGGCGAACGGGGGGGGGGCAGGGGAGGCGAGGAGGAGCAGGAGGGGGAAGAGGAGGAAGACGATGTATGGAGTCAAGGAGGAGGAGGAGGAGGAGGAGGAGGAGGAGGAGGAGGAGGAGAAGGAGGACGAGGAGAAGGAGGAGGAGGAGGGGGAGGAGGAAGAAGAGGTGGAGGAGGAGGACGAGGAGCCGGCAAACGGGTGACCCAAATTCAAGCAGTGGCAAAGCGTCCCGGCTCGCTTCTAGTCCCACCAAGCAATGTTCTAAGAATTTTTGTTTGTGGTTTCCACGAAATGTTCTTTGAGCATTTCTGGCGGAGTCAATCTTGCCTTAGCACATCGGGGTTATGTTCTAAGAGCATTGTTTGTGTTCTTAGAACATGTTTGGGTTCTAAGAGTATTTCGTGGTAGGACTATAGGAATGCGGGACGGTCGGTCCCTGCTCAACAACTGGGGGGAGGGGCGGAAGAAAGGGTCATAAAGTGGCCCTCTGGGGCCTCGTTTGGAGCCGGCAGGGGCCCCAGCGGGGCCTTCTGAGATGATCCCTAGCCTTCGCCCCCCATGCAGGTCACCCCTCATGGCCGCCCGCCCGAATGGTGTACAGACAACGTGCCCCCAGGGGGTGTCAGTTTTTGTGCACAGCCCCCGCTCCGCGGTCTTGTGCCGGTCTTGTGCCGAACTCCGGGCTCATGGACGTGACGGACGGGGAAGCGATGAAGACAGCCATGCAAGAGCCAGAGAAGAAGGAGAAGGAGCTGCATGGGCTCGGCGATTACAAGACGTGCAAGAACATGGGCGCGAAGCAGGCACAGGACATCAAGGCGATCGACTTCGTGGACGAGTGGAGTGACAACATGCAGCTGTGCAGCGTGCGCAGGAGGAACACTGGCTTGGACGCAAAAGAGGACTGCGCCTGCTCGTGCGGGCTGGCCTTCCCCAGCGAGATGCGGTGGAGAGGCCCCGGCGTTACCTCGAGGGGGGAGCAGGGGAAGTTCTGGTGCAAAGTGAACTGGAAGGCGCTTGTGACGACGCAGGAGAGCTCCCCCGAGGACGAGCTCATGAAAAAATGGGTGGACAAGATGAAGGAGGACTTCAACGAGAACTACGAGAAGTGGCCCAAGATCGGCTGCAAGTCGAGGTTCCGCCCGCACAAGAATCGGCCATCCATGGCGGTTCGAAATCAAGTCAGGAGATGCGTGGGATGAGTTCGCATCTGGGAGGCTGCCGCAAGCGCTCGACGACGCCATCAAAGGGAGGCACTACAAGTTCAACGAAGCGACCCAAAAGATAAACCTTAAGGAACTGCGCGAGCTAATCCCACCTTCCTTCCCGATGACGCACCAAGTCAAGGGCTGCGCGCTGATTGCAAAGTACCCAGTTGACCCGTGGGAAGCAGCAGGAAGGAAATATTTCTCGACGCGCAGCTGGTGCCAGCTCGCGTTGCGGATCTCGAAGAAAGACACGGAGAACAGACAGGGCGCCATGGAAGCAGCCATGAGGGAGCTGAAATCAGCGATGGATCTCGAGCAGGAGGAGGCCGAGAGGCTCAAGAAACGCCAGGAGCTCCGCGACAGCACGAGCGCCCCGCTGGACGGCACCGAGATCTTCGAGATGCACGCCTAGTCAGGCGAAGCGGCTAGCTCCAGCGGCCGCGCGCGAGGGCGCCTACTTGCAAGGCCAGGAGGAGCACTAGCGGGGATATCTCGGAGTGCTACCCCAGGCAGACAGGTCGCGGCACTTCCACGGCAGCGACAGATGAGCTTAGAGGTGCCGTCACTAGCGGGGCATCTCGGCGCGTGGACCCTTAGGAGAAAAGTCCGCGCAGAGTAGCGACATGGTTTTTTGGAGCGCCGACAGGTACACCGCTAGCGGGGACGACGAGTGGGAAAACGAAACCACCACAAAGGCCATTGGAGTGTATCCCTGAGGGCCCATCCTCCCTGGAAAAAGACAGCGTTTCGTGCTCTACATGACAGACATGGTGGGAAGGCCTGTTACACGGCTTGACAACAATAGGTTCGCTCGCCCCTACTTACACGCCGATTGGAAGGGGGACATCAAGATGCAATTGGAATACTACAGAGAATTTTGATACAGACTGCTGCGTCACAGGACCTGAGTCATACAGGGCATTGCGTGGTCCAGCCAGCGGCCAGCACGTTGAGGAAGATAAGTGAGCCTAGAGAGGGAGGGAGTCTGTTAGGAGCGTGGGCACAGCAGGTCGTAGGTAGAATTTAATTCGGCCCCCCAGCAAAGCTTGGCACGAAGGGGCCTTCTGCATCCTCTTCTCTCTTCCCTGTTTCGTGTGGGGTCGCGTCGTCGTCCTCTCCCCTGCTTGGAGGCCCCGTTCGCCCAGTGCGTCCCCGTCGTCATGGGCACGCGAGAGGACCAACAGCTGCTCCCCCGCACTGTCCCGTAGGGACTCGCACTCACAGGGTAGCGAGCCTCTCTTACGGGGAGCTCGCCCCTTGAAGCTTCGGGGTATGCCCCCCGCTGGCCCCCATGAGAACTCTTTGTCTGCGGCGTGTTCCAATCGCAGGGGATTTTGCTAGTCGTACTTCGCAGCTCCTCTGTAGGTGTCGACGGTGACACCCTAATGCGGATGTCCTGTCCTGTCCTGTCCTGTCCTCCTCCTCCTCCTGCTCAGTCGTGGTGGGCGTCGGCGGCGGCCAGGTGGCGCTGCCGCTCGTGGCGGCGGGCGCGTTCTCGGCCGGGGAGGGCGCGGAGCTGCTGCACGCGCTGTCCCGGGCCCCCTGCGGCCACGTGCTGGCGGGGCTGCGCGAGGCTACGGCCCAGCGCCAGCGGGCTGCTGCTCCCGCCGTGCCTCGTCGTCTCCTGGGCCCCTCTCCTCAGGCAGTGCCGAGGCGTCCCAGCTTGTCCATAGGCCCACCACAGGATGCTTGCATGACCTTTGTGTGGTTCGCCTGAGGTGTTCTCTGGGTTGTTCTGGCTGAGACCTCCCTGTTCTCGCACGTCGGGGGCATTTGCTGCAAACGCTGAAGACAATTTCGTGGTAAGCCGATGGGAATGCTGGGACGGTCGGCCCCTGTTCAAATCTCCGAGGTGAAGGCTCCCATAGCCATCGCCTGTCAGATGAGGAAGAGGCACCCGAACCGTTAATTTCCCTGCCTTCGTTTGGGAGGCCCTCGTCGCCACGGCTGGATTCGCCACGGAATTTTGCTTAGAGCTCATCCCGAAAAATGTCTGCGGAGCAGCGGTGTCGGTTCTTGCTCCCCAGCCTTGGTCATCGCTCTTCGATGACTCCGGCAGGCGGCGTATATTGATATATTCGGGCCCCATGTGGCCAAAGTGTATCCATGTCCGCCGGCCGCTGGGGTGCCGGGACGTCGTTCCCCCCGGGCGGTGGATATTCGGGTCGGGCGAAAGGGAGGGGGGGGAAAGGGGGGCTTACGAAATCTGCTGCACGCAGCTGTATTCAACCCCGCCGAGGGGTCCATTCTTCGATACATGGCCGCCTCCCGGCGCCGGGAGGCGCCGGGAAAATCAGTTACGCGAGCTAATTCTCCCCCCCCCCCTTTGCTATCCCCCCTTTTCGCCCGACCCGAGATATATGGATGTATCATGTCCCCGCTTCGCCCCCTCGCGTCGTGCAGAAGTCACGGCGGAGAGTCTCGTTGCCTTTCTTCTGCCTACGGGGGGGGGGGCCGCACCTCCGTGCCCTGAGGCCGTCAAACCCACGACTTGAGGACGGAAGGGCGGTCCCCACGAAGTGGTCCCGACCTCTGGTGGTCCAGTTAAATTTATAATAATAATAGGAATAATAATACTAATCGTAATATTTGTAATACTTATCATACGAAGAAGAATACTACTACTAATACGAATGATAGTACTACTAATACTACTAATAGTAGTCATACTAATAGTAATAAGATTACGAATACTAATAATGATAATATATCATAATATAATACTAGTAATAATACTCCTAATCATACTAATACTATTGATACTAATTATATCAATAATACTAATAGTACGAATAATACTAATAATACTAATAATCGTAATAATCATACCAGTAGTAACAATACGCATATTAATATAAATACTACGAATACTAATACTACGAATATTAATAATATGAAGAAGAATAAGAAGCACACGACGTCGGTGGTCTGGATCCTGATCGTGTTCCTTCTTGCGTCCTCTCGATCATCCTATGCCTCGTCGTCTTGCTTCTCTTCCTCCCGCCGCTCACCCTCGTCTTCCTCCCCCTGCTCCTCTTCTCTGTTCCTGTTGTTGCTGATCCTCCTCTTCCTTCTTCCTCATCTCCCTCTTCCTTATCTTCCTCTTCCTTCGAGCTTCGAGCTGTCGGAAGTCTCGTCGCGTCCCCTCCTCTTCCCCAGCGGTGCTTCTCGCAGCGAAGCGCAGGAATGCTTCCCCAGGCAATCGGAAGAATCGAGATGGCCAGTTGGTCGCCCTTGTTGTTGGCATCTGGAGGCTGGTCTCTGTGACAGCCGAACATTGTGTGGGAAGACCGGCGCACGCGTCGAACAAATGGAAGCACCAGATGACCAGATGTTTGGGTCCTCCTCTTTCTCTCCTCCCGCGCCTCCTCCGCCTCCTCCTCCTTCTCCATGTCTGCACCTTGTCCTCTTCCTTGTTCCTCCTCCTCCTCGTCCTCCTCCTCCTCGTCCTTCCCTTCCTCGTCCTCCTCCTCCTCCTCCTCCTCCTCCTCCTCCTCCTCCTCCTCCTCCTCCTCCTCCTCCTCCTCCTCCTCCCCTGCCTCCGCCTGCTCTCCCTCCTCCTTTCTGGTGACCCCGGGCTCGGCGAACGGAGGCCGGAGCAGTGGAGTGCGCCAGGGCTGGAACTTCCAGGGGAGTCAGACGCCAGCCCCGGGGCCACGAGGCGCCTCCTGTCGGGGGCGGAAATGAGGGGGGTGATGACTAGGGGGGGTGGAAATCATGGCGGGGGCCATGATATCTCCACAGATGTCATGGCGCCTCTTCTTGTTTCATCACGTCCCTGGCCCCCCGCTGAGCCGCGCACATGCCGCCGGTCATGATTTGCACCCCCCTTCGTGGACACCCCCCTCTTGGTCGCTCCCGATCCTGGAGGCCCCACATCAAGGTTACGATGTTCCAACCTACCTTCGCCCTGACCACCAGAAATAATTCCGAGCACCAAATAGAATATACCGAAACTCGAGGGTTTTCACATGTCGGGCCCTGGGAGACACTCGCCCGACGATGCTTCGACACTCTTTCGACACTCTTTCGACACTTCTCCTGGTGCTCGAAAGTATTTCTGAGATGTGGTCCTTAAGTAGGATGGGAACAACATAAATCAAGGGGCGAAGAACGCACGATAGCCCCGAGCATGCAATCTCGAACCCCCTGACCTTGATTTTGTCCGTGCCTTTCTCCCGTGCCCCTCGCTCGTGGTCCCTGCCCTGGTTCAGTGGATGCGTTGAGGCTTGTCTCGAGATCATGTGGAGCCCCGAAACAAGAGCACCGACTGGCTGCGTGGGCGTGGCATTGGAGCGAGGAGGTCTCTCACGACTCTGCCCTAGGCGGCCGCCCCTTCGTGGGCATGCAGTCCTGACTTGACCTGACTGCCTCGTTTCATCTGCGGTAGCGCTCCCGAACGCGTCCCACGGGGTAGTGTTCATCCCGGATCGACCCCTGACGGCCCCAGGACCCGACGACGGGCCCCGGAGGCCCACATCATTGGAGCACGCCGCGGGGTCCTGGGCTCGTCTCAACCGCGCGCGGCGTGCCAGCCGGCCGTTGGAGGCAGTCGCGTCGAGCACATCCGGGCAGCATCTCTTCTGGCAGTCCCCGGCGCGCGCATTCTCCGATTCGTTCGCAGTTTGCCGACGTCGCCGTTGTGTCGACGATGCACCGGCGTTGCATCGGCGATGCATCGGCGGTGCGGGGCCATAACTCGGGCTTCTGGCGACCGTTGGGGACGATTCTGGCACCCCGGGGACGCATTCGACGAGGCGTAGCTGATGGAGACTACCCCAAATTCGAACGTTTTATAGAAAATTTGCGAAATGACCGAATCTATGGAACACCTATGGTTTCCTCCTCTGGCGAGCCCCCCGATCATGCGGTCGCCTCGGCGGACAGCGCGAACCGGCCGGCAGTCGAAGCGCAGCTCCCGCAGCAGCCCCAGCAGGCCCTGCAGGCAGAGGCCCGCGGCGACCCCCATCATCTTGGCATCGCACGGACGTGTGCGCTCCTCTTGGCGAGGGCCATCGAGGAGCATCTTGGACCACCTCGCGAAAGCAGGAGCGCACGGAGCCGAAATTTGCACGGGGAATGGACGTGCGAGCAATGCCGGGGCTCAAGAGACAAGGGTCAAAGCAAACGGGGGTCAGCCAGGGCACTGGATCCTGCAGGATCCTGCGAAGACCCCCGCTGGCTGACCCGGGTTAGCGAGCCGCTCGTGGCCGCGAGGCGGCCGCGCATATTGGTTGGCCCTGGTTTGCGAAGGCCTGCGTTGCAGTTTTTGTGTCTGCATTGCAGTTTTTTCTGTTTCTTGCTGACCCGCGTCTGATTGACCCGGGTTAGCAGGCCCCCGAGCAGTGGTAAGCCATCCGGGGGGCCTCTAGATCATGCTGCATCTTCGGGGGACCTCGCCTCTCCCCAACAGCGGTGTCTTCTCTTGTGCCTGACGCGGGCCTGATGCGGACTCGACGTGGATTCGGCGTGGGTTCGACGCGGATTCGGCATGGATTCGACACGGATTCGACGCGTCCCACATGGATCCGACAGGGATCCGACAAGGCCCCCCGAGGATACAACGTGATCTCGAGACTCAGCCACGCGCAGAGGGGGGTGGGGGCAGGGGGGGAGGGTTTCTTAGAAGCATTCCTGCTTCTTAGAAGGCGCGGGCCTTATATGTAGATGTCGGGCCGGCGCCTTCTAAGAAGCAGCCTCCTAAGAAGCCCTCCCCCCTCCCCCCACCCCCTTTTGCGCGCCGCCAAGAGACGGACCAGTCTGAACGATCTCACACCCGGGGCATCCTCTCCCGGGCGAGCGCGCGTGCCGTCCGCGCCCCAGGCGTCCGAGGCGCTCGCCGCTGCCCTCCCCGAGCTGCAGCCGCGCGGCCTGGCGCGCGCGGGGGGGGGGGGGGGGGCGGCACGGGCACCGCGGGGCGCACGCGGTCTTCTCCGGGCGGGGGGAGGAGGGAGGAGGGAGGAGGGGGAGGAGGGAGGAGGAGGGAGGGAGGAGGGAGGAGGGAGGGAGGGAGGAGGGGAGGAGGGAGGGGAGGAGAGAGGAGGGAGGAGGGAGGAGGGGGAGGAGGAGGGGGAGGGGAGGAGAGGAGGAGGTGCCCAGCCCTCGCCTCGTGTGGGGTGGGGAGGCCCTTGTCGCCACCGCTGGATTCGCGTCGACATCCTGGTCAGAGCGCACCCTGGGAGAAGGAAGAGGTACTGATACTGCTGGCCTCGCCTCGTTGACTCCCCTGTTGGGGCCTGATGCGGGGCCCTCGTCGCCACCGCTGGATGCGCTTCGAAACATCCTGGTCAGAGCGCACCCTGGGAGAGGTCCGGGGACAAGCGGTATCGGTGCCTTGTGATTTCCCACTTCGCACGAGTGGCCTCAAGCAGTGCATCACCGCCCACCAAGCCACCCCAACCCAACCCGAAGGCATCAATTTGCCCTCCATTTCCAGTGGGGGGGGGTTCGGGGAACACCGAAAAAACAAGCATGGAACCCGTACCCCCCCCCCCCCAACCCGAAATTGGGGTCTTCGGGTTGGGTTGGGGTGGTCTGGTAGGTCGTCGGTACAATGTTCAGCTCGGTATCGCCTTCGTACCCTGAGGGCTCCATCCCGCAGCGCCACGCATCGGAACCTCCCACACCTCTCGTAGTGTCTGGGGCGTCTCTGGCCTCGGGGTTGCCGCCGTTCTGGGCGCCGAGGGGCGTTCGAGCCCCCTGCCCCAAGGGCGAAGCACCGCCGCAGGTGCGCACTCGAGGAACTCGAGGTGATGTTTCGATGGCTCAGTGTGCCTCTCGGCGGCGAGCCTGGGGGGGAAGTGAGAAGGAGAAGGCCTGCTCAGAGCCTGGGGGGGAAGTGAGAAGGAGAAGGCCGTCTCAGAAGGCTCGGAAGGTCCCCAGACCTTCTGAGAAGTTTTCAAAGCCTTCCCAGAAGGACACAGAGCACTTCTCAGAAGGCGCGAGGGCTTCTGAGAAGTCCCGCCGCCTGAGAAGGCCTTCTCCTTCTCGCCCTCCCCCCCTCGCTCGCCGCCGAGTTGAGTGTGCCACAGTCGGACTTGTGCTCCTGGTGAGCCTGCTGCCGCCTGCGGCCCAGGTGCTGCTCAGCCGTCGACCGCAGCTCGGGGGCCCCCCGCGGGCAACTCCGCGACAACTCCGCGAGGGCAACCGCGCTCCGCGGTCCTTCGCCCCCCCCCGGGGTCGCCACGTTACGTGTTGGATCTTGGCCCCTGCGCTCACGCGAACGAAATATCCGGCTTTCACACCGATGACCGCCGAAGACCGCGTCGGGCCGCCGTCCAGAGACCGCCGAAGTCCGCCGGAAGACCGCCGAAGACCGCCGAAGATTGCCGAAGACCGCGTTCGTTGGCGGTCTTCGGCGGTCTTCCAGTGGTCCTCAGAGGCCAAGATGCGTGTCGAGGGGTGCGTGATCGAACGCGTGAGCCACGTGAGCGGCGCCAGAGAACGGCGTCGTCTTCGCGGGCGCTGGCGCGCAAGCTGTGCGCGCAGGGTCGCGCGCGAGAGTGCCCTCGTCCCCCCGGTGGGGCGGGCCGCGCTGGCCGCCATCGCAGGCCGCGGCGCAGGCACCCTGTCGCGTGGGCCCCGCTTCGGCTCGTCGCCCGCGTGCAGCACAGGTCGGGGAAGCGTGAGACTCGAGCGCGCCGGATCTCGGGTTCGCCGACGCTCTCTGACGGGCGCGACCTGGATCTTGACGGTCCAGCTTTTGTGGGCTGCTTGCAGCGGAGTCCGCGTCAAATTTCAGATTGGGTCTCGTCATTCTCACGAGGGCCCCGTCAGGCCCACCCGAGTCCCCCGAACCCGGGTCTTACGACTCCCTGGGCAGGGGACCCGAGCCGGCGGGCGTGGCGCCCGCTGGCACCTCCGGGCGCTCTCGAAGCACCGGCCTGTCGCCAGGCGTCGGCCTCCGAGGGGCCAGGCCTCGGAGGAGGGAGGGGTCCCGCTGCCGCTGCTTTGCCAGCGCCGCCGCGAGTGGATTCGGCCCGACGTCCGGGTCGGCACGGCAACCTTTGGCGATGCCGTGGACCGTTCACGTTGTTTGATTTTGCGTGCCGGGGCAACGGCGGAGCGAAGATGGACGAGGGAAAGCCAAAATGCAAGGAAAATGGAAAACATTGTTCAGCCCGAGCCCTGATGCACTGCAGGAACTCGTCATGGATAGGCGGCTGTTACCTCCCCAAGGCTCGGGCCTTTGGTGCGGGGCCCACCTCCCCACCCGCCCCATGGACGAGCCCAGCCAGGATTTTGGCGCGAGTGAGCAGCTGGCTGACCGCCGCCACCCCCCAGTCCGCCTGATCACCCTCCCCATCTGCCGGTCTCTCCGCGCGCCCGCTCTCAAGCGTATGAAGAATGGGCGAACAGGGGCAGCAGACGGTCTAGTTACCGAGATGATGCGAACAGGCCATGAAGGATTGATTTGCGTTTTGGCGGACTACTTCACAAATCTCGTCCAAGGTAAAATGGGCCCGCTGTCGGATTGAAAGACAGCGCGTTCACCTGTCATCTTAAAAAAAGTGGCAGGAGAAATGTGGCAAGCTATAGACCAATATCGATTATCCCAGTGATGGCGAAGCTTCTCAGTATCGTTTTACATATGCGTCTGCAGGAGTCCATTGAGGCTTACTTCACACAGGAGCAGTACTGCTTTCGCAGAGGCAGAGGTTGTGACGACGCTCTACATGTTCTCCGCTTGGTCGCAAAGAAGTCGGCCGAGTGGGGGAGGAGCTCTGGGTGGTCACGTTTGACGTTGAGAAGGCTTTCGACAGAGTTTCGCGCGACTAGCTTGTCGAGGCCCTGACCAGCACGGGGGCGGACGTCTGTTTGGTGAGCGTTTTGCGAAAATTGTACAGAGGGATGACCGCCGCGTACGTGAAGCTGGCCTCTGGGGCCGAAAGCAAACGGTTCAAGGGGCAGAAAGAGGTACGACATGGAGACCCCTTACCACCGGTGCTGTTCAGCCTGGTGA